TAAAAAAAAATAGGTGAATAGATAACACAATCAGCAGTCCCTCCCCTCATGCTACCAAACTCTGACCTCTCCTTCTTCAATCAAAATCTTGTCATCTTCACCTCTGTAACTAAGCTACCAATTCACTTCCTTATTATCGCTCTCTCCTTGACTATTGCAACAGCCTCCTCATTGTCTACCTCTACACAGGCTCCCTCAGTCTATCATGAATGCTGCTGCTGGACTCATCTATCTTACAAAGCATTCAATGTCTGCAACCACACTCTGCCCATCCCTCCACTGGCTTCCACTCCACCAAGTAATAAAATGCAAAATACTAGCATACAAAGCCATCCACAACTCCGCCCCCAGCTACATCACCAACCTCATCTCAAAATATCACCCAAACCGGCCCCTCTGCTCCTCCCAAACCCCTTCTTTACCTTCTATGCCCACCTCCAGGACTTCTTCAGAGCTTCTCCTATCCTCTGGCTAATAAGCCCCTGTGTGATAGCATTTGGAAGTGACAGGTTCTCTTTATGGAGCCTGCCCTCCAATACAGAAGATGGAGCACAGCATTGTGCTGGATCTCCTGTGCAGCCCGGCTTGTGACAACTGAGACAGGAAGCGCTCTGGGTACAGCGCTGCTGTCTCACTGATCACACAGGGCAGATAGGCTCCCCATCTTGAAATCATTTGCCGGGGGTCCCCGAAAATCCACGGCGTGGGTGGGTGGGAGACAAGACAGGCTGGTTGCTACAAGTGATCTGGGGCGGCAGAACAAGTGGCAGCTCCCCTGATCTACATTTAGCCCTGCTTGCCCACAGCAGAGGTAACTGTAGAGGAACAAAACAACAACACCTGCCCCGTGCCCAGAACGTCATGTCCCGGGTGTTGGGCGATAGAAATGACACCCCCCTGAACCCCAAACAACATTGTCTTATATTGTATATTGCAGCTTAGATGTGGTGGCTGCAACATATTTCTCTGCTCAGGCTTTATTTTCACTTGGTGATCCTCACACTAAACACACTTCCTGTCCTAGGGTGACAACACTCACTCACTGTGGTGATCTCTAGAGTTATCTATGGAGAAGCAGCATCGTCACTCTAAGACAGGACTACAGAACCCCTCCTCCTCTCCATCATAAATATAGAGGGAAAAGGAGCTCTGCAGTCCACAAAAAGAAGACATGGGAACAATACTAACTGATAACAGTCAGCAAAGGCAGAGAGCTCAGGAAGTCATCAGCTCACTGGATTTCTGGCAGGATCAACAGGTTTTATTTCACCTATAGCACAGATAAAACTCTTCTAATGGTGTATAACAGACCAAAAGGGAGCAATAAGTGAAGTTCATTGCTGGGCTTTACATACACTTTAACCCTTTCGCTGCCATCGGTGTAAGGCTTTCACTGGTGTCAGCAGGGACATCATTTTTTTTAAACTTTCTTACAGGGTAATTCTACTTTTTCTATTTTGGTATTACCCCTCCAATCTGGCCCCCTCCCCCTTCCTATACTTAACTGTGAGCGAACGCTCCTTCCCCTCCACCAGTGCGGGTGTACTATCCATGCCCCGTACTGCAGTGTGGGACAGCCCTGCGCTTTGAATTTTGCTTGCAAACGGCGAGCACTCATTGGTCGGGGGACCACGCTGACCAATGAGAGCTTCCCACGTGCCAGCAAAATATGGAGCACAGGGGAAGGAGCGTTTGCCCAAAGGTAAGTATAACAAGAGGGGAGAGGGATTACCAAATTCACTTGGGAAAGTTGAATTACCCTTTAATAGGTTTAAATTCCTTCTGCTTTCTATACACAGTGATTCGTCAGCTGTAAAGCTTCCACAGCCTGCGGATGATACCACCCCACCATGTTTTTTGGGCTCCACTGCCTGGGACGTCTATGGTGGATACTAGAGCACGATCAGCGAACATCTATTTAGTGATCGTCACTGCAGTGACTGAAGCCAGAAGCAACAAGCTTTTCGTCACTTCTGCTTTCAGAGATGTCAATGATTAGCCAGATCTGCGCTTGAGCAGCTTCCGTTGTGTGCAAAGGTGACATTTGGGGACTGATAGACCCCTAACATCCCCTTAAAGAGTTCCACTGTGGTATCACACGGAGGACTTGTCAGCCCCCTCCAGTAAGCAACACATATTGTATCTGTGCGGCCTATACCCAAATGTTGTATACATCTTTTTCCACGTCTTAAAACTCATGTGTACAGCAGATCCCTGGCCACCGCAAGTATCTGGCACTCCCCCGCCCAAAGCGGTGGTTTCTCCCATTGAATTGTATATCCTGTAGTGATGAACCACAGCATGCAGCGGGGAGAGCAGAGACCGCTTTTATTTCTATCTGGGTCCCTGTTGCATGTTTCCCCTCACTGCGCACCTATTCACACTTCAGCGTCTTCAGGTGGATTTGAAGCTATTTGCATGTTTCTCAGGCTTGAGTGTCTTTATTTTAGCCATTGGAAAGTCAGTTAGTAGGAGGAGGAGACGATTGGTAGGCACAAAATCTCTCTGACATCGATGGGGCCAAAACACATGCGAGTATGCCTGACTAGAAAATCGCTCACGTACTTTTTTGAGCAACAAAACTCTGAAGTGTGAATGAGCGCCATTGAAAATAGTGGGATTCTTCATGCTGAGCGCGGTCATGCTTGGAAAAAGGCGCAACAAACTGCTCAGGAGTGCATGGGGGCTTCCTCTCTGGTAAAACCATCACTGGGACTTTAAGGGGTCTATAAATGCGTTCACACAAGATTAAAACTTTCACCCACTATTCACACATTTTTCCTAACAGGATTCAACTGGAAAATGTCTGGTGAAAAAACATTTAACCACCTCCCATTCCGCGGCCGTAACTAAACGGCTGGACGGGGATTCAACTTGAAAATATCTGAGTAATTGGTGAATGTTGAGTGAAAACATTTAACCACCTCCCGTTCAGTGGCCGTACCTAAACGGAACCTTGCAGATGTGGGCGGGCGTTTTGAAACGTCCTTTTCCCGCCCCACTTGTGCGCGGCGCCCACAAGCGGAAAAACTACCTAAAATGTAAACAGCCGGCAATGGACATTTAAATACAAGCGTTCCGACAGCTATAGAGCCGCTGGATTGCTTGTATTTTTTGTGCGGGTGTGCACCACCCCTGCCAGTCCCGGGATCAGCTGTGCCCAGTGCGGGTCGGAAACCGGCACAGTGGCTCTGTCACCAGAGAGCGGTACACGTTCTCCCTCTGATCTTCTCTCCAACTGTCAGAATGCAGGAAGTGACGTATATTATACCACGTCAGCATTCAGCTGATGAAGCAGTCGATCTCGGCTTCATCCGCTTCTCTGGGGGTCCCTAGGTGGCATTAGGGGTCTTGGAGACCTGTCACGTAAACTGGCTATCACATTGGGGACTTCTTAGCCCCCTATGTGATGGCAATAAAGTTGTGTAAAAAAAAAAAAAAAATGTAAAAGTCCCCAGCCCCCACATACACATGCGTCACCTATGTGCAAAAACAGGGATTGCGCCCATTGCGTTGCACGTTACATATCACCGCAAACGTCGCAATGGGAGAAATAATTTTAGGGCCATTATTCACAGATAACACTAAATTGATGAGCGGTAAAAGCTTTTAAAGCGTCGCCTTTTGACCAATTTTGGGTGTGGTCGCTTTCTGCGATTTCGCAGGCACGCGCACTTTTAAAGCTTGACCTGTTTGGTGTCTATTTACCTGAAGTTACCCAGTCTTTTATATTTTACCAAAAATCGGGGTGATAAATGTTTCCCGATGAAACAGTTTCCCTATGAAATAACATTTTATAGGGAAACTGTTTTTTTTGCAAAATTTAGGGTAGTTTTCTTGTACTATAGTAAAAAATAAAACCCCCCAGTGGTGATTAAATACCACCAAAAGAAAGCTCTATCTGTCCCCAAAAAAAGGGTATAAAATGTATTTCAGTACAGCGTTGCATGACGGAATAAATGTCAAAGTACCGCAGCGCTGAATACTGAAAAATGGCCTGGCCAGGCAGGGGGTGTAACACCCCAATCTTCAAGTGGTCAAAGACAAACCCCTGTGTGAGGGTAAAGCTCTCCGGGGCCTCATGAACAGGGACACATGAGGCTGGTGACCGTAATTCTGCATACAGGGACAACCAGCAACAGCGTACAGCAGTGAATGGGTGTAGGCAGAAAGAAGCCTGAAAATGAGGTTCAGCGGCCTCATGCGTCAGTGCGCACAAAGCCTAACAGAGTGACTCAAAGCAGTAAAACTCAACAGGGGCTCTAATCCTTCCCCACTCCATCCAGAACTAGAAAAGAATACCCGTGTCCTTTTTCCTCATCCCTTTTCTTTGCTCACTCTGATTTTTCCTGCTATCAGCATGATCCTTGTCATCAGTTTGTCATGCAGCACCCTTGATTGGCTCCTTGTGCTGCTTCTTCCTCCCCCCAGTGTGAGCTCTGCTGTACAAGGAGGGCAGGAGGCCCGATACCAAGTCAGGTCCAGGTGCTGAAAGTTACAGTCACGGCTCCAGCTGATGAAAGGGTACCGCCCGCTCTTCTCCTTGTCCATTCAGGACACTACCTGCATGGAGTTTGCATGTCTTCGCTGTGCTGTATGAATGGATGTCCTAACACAACCCGAAAGCACCCTGGTAGGTTAATGAGCCGTAGGATGTGCATTCATGTGAGATGGGACCTTAGAGTGTCAGCTCCTAGGGGCAGGTTCTGATGTAAACATACAATATATAAAAGCACTGTGTAAGCAATCAGCACTATATACATAATCACTGAATCTGAGGTAGATTGGCTGTCTGACTGCAAGGTGTATGGGCAAGGTGTAAACCAGTGAAGGTGTCCAAAGAAGCTCTATTGGAGGAAGCCCCCCTCTATATAATCCAGGGGTCCGTGTATGGCCCTGGGCACCCCCTGACTGTGTCTCTGTCACCAGTACACCGCTCCCAGGTTGGCACACACCACGACCAACACCTTAAAGGGTTGTTCCCTTTTCCCAGCGCTCACCTGAGTCCCCGGTAGCCGTCTCCCGGCTCTCTAGTCTCCTCCCACTCACAAAGCCGTCCCCGGTGCCGACAGGAAGAGATGAGGTTCCCTATATTGTCCACCGTTCCGCTTGCGTCTCCCCGAGACTTCACTCCTCAAAGCTCTCGGGCCTAGTGAGCCCCGATTGGCCGCTGTGCCCGAAGACGTCATCGCAGGACTCGTCGTCCGCGCCACGCGATTGGTGGAGAGCCGCTGACCCCGCCTGCGTACTGAGCGGCCGAGGCGTGAGCGCCCCGGCTATTTCCTCGTCCCAAGTCGGCAGCTGATTGGTGGAATGCGGCCGATAGGATTTACTCTATAGTAGAGCGCCTGAGCATGTCCTTATTTGGCTGCTATGCGGATTATCTTCCATGTCCCCAAAATTGGTCTCCGACAAAATGGCCGCCGGACAGCTTGTTGTCTACGGTTGTACACGGGTTGCTGGATAGTGGCAGTTGTCTCTTTCATGAGGAGAGCTGCTACGGAAGCATGCTGCAATGTTGTTCCTTGTTCTATTTAATTCTCATAATCTCTTTAAACCCAACTCCAGTTTTTCTTCCAGGCTGTTCCAGCAGAGCCGTGTGCAATACTCCCCTGCAGTAAACTTTTCTGCCACTTGATGTCCTCCTTCTTCCAGGTTCAATGGCACCCAGCTTCACTCGACCCAGGAGACTGAGGACATACTGGGAGTGCAGAGCAACATGGCTGCCTAACGGGGGACCCAGAAAACCTCGGCGGGGGGCGGACACTATCGCCGATGCCGCCGCCGCTCGATTTAATACAAGGGATCTACTTAGATCGCTTGTATTAAACGAACAGCGGCTCCCACTGCACATTCAGCTCTGCTTGTCAGGAGCAGGGCTGAATGTACAAAAAGAAACTACTCGCCCGGCGCCCGAAACTGCATGTCCTGGGTGTCGGGCGATAGGTATTCGCCCGAAAAAAAGTGCGTCTTATGGAGCGAAAAATACGGTAAGTTATTGTCCATAAAAGGTGTATTGGGGTCCGGGTACTGCCCTGGGGGACAGGAATCAATGGAAAAAAAAAACGTTTTTAAAGGAGCAGTGATTTTAACATCACTTAAAGGGTAAGAATAAAAATGAAAAATTCCTGCAAATATCGTGCCGTGGGGGGGGGGGGGGGGGGGGG